AATAGTGCTGCAATAAAACAGGTTGTGTGCAGGTATCTTTCCCATATATTCATCATCATTCCTTCAGATATATGCCCAAGATACCAGCATGGGGTCTTGAGGTCGATGTAATTTCAGTTTTGTTAAGAACCTCCATACTGATTTACATAGTAATTGTACTATTTTACATTTCCATTGTTTATAAGGGATCCTCACTTGCTCGCTAGCATGTATTATTTGTTTTCTGGCTAGGCAGTTACTCTACCCTTTGAGCCATGTCCTTGTTTAATTGCCTTTGTGACTTGGGTGAGACGGTATCAGTATCATTTTGACTTGATCCCTTCATGACTAAGGGTATTGAACATTTTATTCATATATTTATTAGCTGTTTGTACTTCTGAGAATTCTCTGTTCAATTCATTAGCTCACTTACTGGATTATTTTTGGTATTATTTGAATTTTTTGTATGTTTGTTAATCATTTACCCACTGACAGTTTTTGTTTTGTAGTTTATGTCTTGATTCTAATTGTTTCCTTTGATGTGCAAAAGCTTTTAATTTCATGTAATTCCAATTGTCTGTTCTTGCTCTTGTTTCCTCCTTTCAATTTTCTACATGGAGATAGATAACCAATTTTCCCAACCCTATTTGTTGAACAGGCTGACTTTTCTCCAGTGTATATTTTTGGCTCCTTTGTCAAAAAATCACATGTGAGTCTGTGGTTTTATTTTTGGACTTTCTGTGTCATTACCCTGCTGTCTTTGTTAGTATGATTTTTTAATACAACTTAAACTGTAGTATTTGTTGCTTTTTTTCCTTAGGATTACTTTTGCTATTCAGAGTCTTTTATGTTTCTATATGATGAGAATTGTATTGAATTTTTAGATTGCTTTTGAAAGTATAGACATTTCTACATCACTAATTCTGTCAGTTGGTGATTGTGGGAGGTCTTTCCACGTTCTGGTATTTTTAGTATCTTTTTCCAAGGTTTGTTTAGTTTAATTTGTTTAGGTCTTTTGTGTCCTTTAGGTATTTTTCTCCTTGAGATTATCATGAATGGAATTATTTTCCTGACCTTTTTCTCAGTTTGGTCTGCTCCTTGATGATATATGAAATACTACTGATTTTTGTATATTAATTTTTTATCCTGTTATGTTGGCAAAAGATCTAGGAGTTTTGGGAGAATCATTAATGTTGCTTAAGTATAGTATACCATCTGAAAATAGGGATGATATGTCTTCCTTTTTTGCCTTATGGCTTTGGCTTAGGTATATTTGTTTTTTTGTAATAGGGTCTCACTAATTTCGCATTCTCCTGCTTCTGTCTACCAAGTAGCTAGAATTACAGGAATACACTACTGCCTGGCCTCTCATTTCTTTTCTTTTCTTTTTTTTTTTTTTTTTTTTTTGCCGGTCTGGTGGCTCAAACTCTGGGCTGAAGCACTGTCCGTGAGCTCATCTTTGCTTAAGGCTAGTGTTCTACCACTTGAGCCACAGTGCCACTTCCAGCTTTGCTGAGTAGTTTATTAGAGTTAAGAGTCTCACCAGACTTTTCTGCCCAAGCTGTCTTCGAGCTGCAATCCTCAGATCTCAGCCTTCTGAGTAGCTAGTATTACAAGGCTTGAGCCACCAGCACCTGGCCCAGTCTCTCATTCATTTTTGGTGATAGCCATTCTAACTGGGGTGAGATGCAATCTTATTGTTGTTTTAATTTGCATATCCCTTATCTTCTGTACTGTTGACTAAAAAAATAAGAAATTTACAAAGTAACAGTGTATTTGTGTGTACTTGTGTGTACACACGTGCGTGTGAGTGCACACACATACTGTTTAAGAAGCTAGATAACCAGAGAAATTAGGAAAATAAAAGCCAAAGTAAAAAAATTCTCTAACTTTAATTACCTTCCAGTAATAGATCATTTAGTAATATTTTTGGGGGAGAGACTGCTGTAGACAGTATGTCTGCTTTAATCAGATTGACCTGATTATTCATTTTGATTTCTATGCGCAAGCATTTGTCATTTCCTCTGACTTGAATCAAGGCTTTTCTCCATCTGTACCAGTTCTATTACTATTTCTTTTTATTCAGTTCCTCATAAAATCTACTGTTACAAGATCTTTTCAGTCTTTTTGTTCTTTTCTTAGTATTGGAAGTGTTGCTGGATTTTTGTTTGAGAAGTGAACCTTTATATAATGAGTCATACTTTTCATCTGTGTATCTAAAAAGAAGAATTCATCTGACCATGGAAGACAGACTTTCTAGATACATTTTCCATAGTGGAATTTCTTTCTGTGCAGTTAGTGTGTCATCTAATCATTTGTTGATAACTGCATGTCCTTTAATTGTGAGCTTAACTGAAGATAATGCTCAGGCTTATTACCTCGCATTAAAAAGGCTAATTTACTGATGTTTTACACTTGACTGGTTCTAAGGTAGTCACATATTATAACAGTAAAATTCTCTGGAGCTGTTTAAAATGCAGATTTCCAACCTTCCTTAAGACCTTTTAGATCAGAAACTCTAAGCTGAGGCTGAGCACTCTGTTTTAGTAAGCCTTTAGGCTGATTTTAATACTCTTGAAGGCAGATCCAACAGTAAAAAGAAAAAAAGCCTAAGGGCAGTTATATGACTAATACTTTCTTAAAACCAGGTGGTTTATGTTTTAGTTGGAAGAGTTCAAAGTTCAAAGTAGACCACTGCCAGAAGTAATCGGTCTCAAGATATCATTCAACATACTTCCTAAAATTTGTTTATTTAGAATGTGCGTGCTTGCGTGCGTGCATGTGTGTGTGTGTGTGTGTGTGTGTGTGTGTTTTGAGGGGAATGTGTACTCCTGTAGCATGAATTTGGGGCCTGGGTGCTGCCTCTGAGCTTTGTTGCTCAAAGATAGTGCTCTATCACTTGAGTCACAGCTCCACTTCTTGCTTTTGGGTGGTTAAGTAGAGATAAGAAGCCTGCTGGGGCTGGCTTCAAAACCACCCTCCTCACATCTCAGCCTCCTGAGTAGCTAGGATTACAGGTGTGAACCACCAGCTCCTGGTGAATATTCTTTTTTTTTTTTTTCCTTGCAGTTTTGGGGTTTGAACTCAGGGCCTCATGCTTGCTAGGCAGATGCTCTACTACTTGAACATGCCTCCAGCTCAACACACTTTTAAAAATTACAGGTAATAGTAGCATATCAGGATAATTTTGAGGATGAACTAAATCTGAAACAAGGTCTTATGAATTTTTAAGGTCTGTGTCAATCTTAGTTGCAAACTGAGATGCTAATGTTTTCCCTGGTTTGGCTCTTATTCATAGTAGTAACTGTAGTTGCTGGAACTTACTTCTAATTTGGGTTGCAGGATGAGTTTAAGAAAAGCTCCATGAGTTTAAGGAAAGTCACTGTGATAGTAGGTCTAGGCTATCAGTGCATGATGTTCCTCTGGCTTCCTTAATTTCAAATAAAGGTAGCAGATAATACTACCTGCTACTTTTAAACCTAACAAGATAGTGTAATGTTCTGATTCTATTTTCATTCTTTACAGAAATAAAATCAAAGTACCTGGCATAAATGCCTGGCACATAAGAAATACTTTATGACAGCTCTTTGTTATTGTGTATGAAACTCAACCTTTTCTGTATCTTAATTCTCATTCTGCTTATTTTATCTCTTGATTTTGAAGAGATGTGCTTAAATTTCAGTATCATATGCCCGATCGTTGGCTGTTATGCCAGATCTTCATGGGCCAGGTCCTTGGATACTACTGTTTGTGCTTTGAGAACCACAATATAAGTGTGAATTAAATACGTATGCTGGTCATTCTGCTTGAGTGTCAATATGTTGCCTAATGTGGTTACTACTTTTCAGGCTGTAGCTTCTGTTAATCATTATGTCTTCCAGAACTGTCTCTTCAGAAATAGGTTAACAAGTTGATTTTTAACTAGAGTATATTTTCAAAGTGAATAGAAGTATGAAATTTCATTTTCTTCCTATAAGAAATGTTCATATTATAGTGAGTCAATTGCTCCTTGCACATGGACAATAAAGATTTAATTCTTGTAATCTAAGTCATAGTGTCATCTGGTTATATTGTTGAGTTCAAAGTATATTTCACACAAAGTATGTTTCGCAGTGTGTTTATCATTTGGGTTGGAGTTAATTCTGCCTACAAATAAGGTATAGAATGCTTGAAAATTATAAAAACATGTCTTATTTCATGAATAATGTATTTCTGGGTTCTAAATTTGACACTTCTCTGCCTTTAAGAATGTTTGTGTATATGTATATCTGTGTTGTGTCTAATATGTTCAGATGATTTGGCTTAAACATTCCTTTTCATAACCAGAATATTATATTTCCTGGATACCATTACTTGATTACTTACTAGAGTACTTTCTACAGGAAACTGATTTCATTTTACTGTTTTAGGTTCTTTAACCACAGGGGATTGAGGAATATTATATTAATACATTATAGGCTTTTTAAAGTTAGAAGGGTTAACTCTGGTTACATTATATGAAATGTGTGTGCCACGGGGTAGGAGAGTGGGGAGGGAGTGGTGCCTGTGTTGGAACCTAGGGCCTTGCATAAGTGCTGTACCATTTCAGCTCCAACCCATTGGTTTTGTGGGGAGGAGGGAAAGGGTTTTTTGTTTTATAAGAAATTGCTTAATCTTCCTACCTGTGTTTCCTCATCTGTGAAATCAAAATAATATAACCTATCAGTTACAGATGGTAAAGATTACATGAAATCATTTTATTTAGAAATAGCCATAGGACAGAATGTATGGCTAAGTTAATTTTAGACTAGTGTTACTTTTTATTATACTTAAAACATATTATGGACAGAACTGATCAATTTATAGGTTTATTTAAAAATGGAATTTAATATTTCATATAGTTTTAGTTTTGCTTTTATGATTTTGAAAAGTCTTCAGTGCTAAAGAATAGTCTTCATAGAATGAGTAATATGTAGATTTGTGAATTATGTAGAAATATGAAATCACTGATTGCAGAAATTCACTTATTTTGGTGTACTTAGGAAGGTGACATGCCAATTCATGAACTTCTCAGCCTTTATGGTTATGATAGTACTGTTCGACTACCTGAAGAAGATGAGGAAGAAGAGGAAGAGGAAGAAGAAGGTGAAGATGATGAAGATGCTGATAATGATGACAACAGTGGCTGTAGTGGGGAAAATAAGGTAAGAGTATACACAGTAGTTCCTCTTTAATTTGTGGACTTCGTATCATCCAGGACCCTCAAGGGATGACTGAATCTACAGAGTGTACTAAATTCTATAATTTATAAAGTTAAATTCTATAATTTATAAATAAGGTAAGTACTAAAGATTAAGTACTAAAAAATATTACAGAAATAAGTAACTGGAAATCTTCTGTAAATACGCCTGAGAGGTAACAGTTAAGTCTGTGTCATTTTGGCTGTCAATGCTTTTTTGAATATTATAGAGCAGCTTTTAAATAATTAAAGTTAACTGGCAGTCCTGTATTTTTACTTTATCTACTTTTTTTTTTTTTTTTTTTTTTTTTTGAGGGTCATGGGGCATGAACTCTGGACCTGAGCGCTGTCCCTCAGCCCTTCAGCTCAGGGCTAGAGCTCTATCACTGGAGCCACAGTGCCACTTCCTTTATCTACTTTTATTACTTATTCTGAAGTAATTTTAGATGTAAGAAGGGGATCAATTTACTGTATACAAAGTTGCTGTTGGAGTGTGTGTGTGTGTCAGTGTGTCAGTTATGGAGCTTGAACTCTGGGCCTGGTTGCTGTCCCAGAGTGTTCTACCACCTGAGCAACAGTGCCATTTTTGGTTTTCTGGTGGTTAATTGGAGATAAGAGTCGCATGGGCTTCCCTTGCTGTGGCTGGCTTTGAACCTCAATCTTCAGATCTCAGCTTTCTGAGTAGCTAGGATTACAGGCAGAAGCCACTGGCACCTGTTGCAGTATTTTTAATCCAAACTACTCAACAATACTGGTACTGTTAACTAAACTGTTTGTGGATTTTACCACTAAGATCCTTTTTCCTGTTCCACATGCTAGCCCAAGCCACCATATTGCACTTAAGTCTTCTGGTTATATTTAGAACAAAATTATCTGTAGCCTTTCTTTTGAAATAGTGTTCTTTACATTTTAAATTAATAATTATTATTACTATTAATAATTCTATAGGAAGAAAATACAAAGGATTCATCAGGTCAGGAGGATGAAACTCAGTCTTCCAATGATGATCCATCACAATCTGTTGCTTCTCAGGATGCTCAGGAAATAATCCGCCCACGCCGATGTAAATATTTTGATACAAGTAAGTATTGTCATTGCTTTAGTTAGAATATAATTTTCACTTTTTTGAATAGTACCTACAATTCTCATGTGTTTTTCACTGCTCTGTTAGACTTTGTTTATTCTGAAATCTCTTGCATAAACAAGTAGACTTTGTTACTGGTTATTAGTTTAACAATAATTCAGGCCCCGTTTTCAGTGAATATTTTACAATAACTATGATTTTTATGTACTACCTGACTTTTTGGTGGTGGTTTTTTGGTTTGTTTTTTGGTTGGTCGTGGGCTTGAATTCTAGGCCTGGGTGCTGTTCCTGAGCTCTTCAGCTCAAGACTAGTGCTCTACCACTTGAGCCACAGTGCCACTTTCACCCTTTTCTGTTTATGTGATGCTGAGGAATCAAACCCAGAGTCTCATGAATGGGAGGCAAGCACTCTACTGCTGAGCTACCTTCCCAGCCCTTGGTGTGGTATTTTTTCTCTGTTTTTGGTAGTCCTTCAGCTTCATTTTCTATATATTCCTCTTACCCTTTTTAAGAAAAGATTATTTTTCATGCATGACTTAATAAAAGGATACAGTGTGAGAAACATGTCATAAAACAATTTCTTGGGTATGAAAACTTCATAAAATGTACTTACACAAAGGTTGACTATAACATCATCACTACATGGCATAAATCTCAGGAGGACACTATCATATTGCAGTCTCATTGTTCAGTTGTCAGATAGCCCAGGATGATATATTCATGAGGATTGCTTTCTCTAATCATGGGGCACTGTGTTCTAAAAGTGGTTCACTTTAGGTAAGAATACAGGTTTGTATGTTTGACCTGCTGTTCTGTAATGTTTCATTCTAAGCCCAAATTGATATTCTAAAACAGATTCTTGATAAGAGCAATTCAATTACCAGTATTATCAATTTAAATTCTTAATTTTATAATTCTGTACCTTAAAAAGGAGAAAGCTAATTGAAAGAAAATAAATTCTCATTATAAGGTAATGACTGATTGAACATGGATACTCTGTTTGATTTGTTTGTTATATATTTAGTGTAAATTTTTCATATAAAAATAATAAAGTTTAAAAGATCTATTCCAAGTGAAAGGTATATTAATACGGGAAAAATAATTGTGTTAATTTTCTTTGCATGCTAAAACATAGATGCTAAGTAATTAACAGCTTTGCCTTTGGGAAGAACATTGATTTTGTACTTGCAAGCTCATATTTCAGTTGTGCTAGATGCATGGAAGCTATACGTACATTTCCTCTTTTAGCTTTTCCATAGTCCTTACATCATTTCCACATATGTTGTCCTATTGAACTTTACATGATGATTTGGATTTTAAACAACATTGACACCCTAATAGTTTCATATTTGCCAATCCTTTATGCAGATATCGTATTTCAAAATGTAAAAAAAAAAAAAAATGGAGATTGGGGAAAATAGTGTCCTTTACCCCTTCTTATGTGCCCCTTAAAGATTTCCTATAAAATTCCTAGTGTTACAAGGAACACTATTAGGAAAATTGTATTATCCAAATTCTGATTTTATAAGTGAAAACATTGAGATCATATGACTTTATCACCAGGGTGTTTATAGTAAAATGAAGAATAAAAACAGACTATCTTGGGCTCGGAAGGTGGCTTAATGGTAGATTGCTGCCTAGCCTGCAGGAAGCCCTGGGTTTAATTCCTCAGTACCAGAAAAACAGAAAAAGCTAGAAGTGACGCTGTGGCTCAAGGGGTAGAGTGCTAGCCTTGAGCAAAAGAAGTTCAGGGACAGTGCCTAGGCCTGGAGTTCAAGCCCTATGACCAGCAACAACAACAACAAAAATAGATTTATCTTGATTCTAAATCCAGTTTTTTAGGAAATAATTTACTGAGAATAAAATTGCCTTAGGAAAGATTTATGACTTTTTGTTGGTGTTTTTTATTTTGTTTTGTTTTCCTATTGCAGAGAAAGTATAGTGATTATTTAATTAAAAATCTTTCCTTAACTCAGTAGACCTTTTGCAAGTCTAAATATAGAGATATTGATGTAGACTGAATAAGCTTTTATTTTATAGTATCATTATCTTATTCTAGATAGTGAGATAGAAGAAGAATCCGAAGAAGATGAAGATTATATTCCATCAGAAGACTGGAAAAAGGTAGTTAGAATCATTTCCCCAAAATTTAAAGTTATGTTTTAAAAACCAGTTGTAGTTATTCTTTTAATACTTCCATATATTTATCATGTTTTTTTGTGACATTGAAGCATTTCATAAATATTCAGGTTCTTCTTTAATATCCAAGTAAGAGATAGTCTTACATTTTTTTAACAAAAGGAATGTAAAGAATTGGATTTGGGGGGCTGGGAAGATGGCTCAGTGGTAGAGCACTTGCCTTGCATGCCTGAGGCCTGGGTTCGATTCTTCAGCACCACATAAGCAAAAAAGAAAAAAGCCAGAAGTGGCGGTGTGGCTCAAGTGGTAGAGTGCTAGCCTTGAGCTGAAGAGCTGAGGGACAGAGTTCAGGCCCCACGACTGGACCCAAAAAAAAAAAAAAAAAAAGAATTGGATTTTGTTGAGCTAGTCAATATTCAAACCAATGTATAGTTGGAAAACAATTATATTTTTTCAAGTTTTCTAGACATTGTAAAAAGTCTCAGAATGATTGGCTTTACTGTTATTTATTTCTGATAAGTCTGTTGTATACAGATTTGAGTATTGATACAAGTTTGGTTTCTCTGTAACTACACAAGTTGTGTGTTTTTTTTTTTTATAATTTATTTTATTTGTGAACATACTGTACAGAGGGGTTACAATTACATGGGCAGGATAATGCGTACATTTCTTACCAAGCATTGCAGCCTCCTCCTTTGTTTACCCTTCACATCCCTTCCCAGCCTCCCCTCTCCCCCCCCCAGTCCCAATCCTTCTCCCCCCGCCCCCCCACAAGTTGTCTGTTTCTAAGATGAGTCTAAAACAGTTTTTATTAGTACATACACAATCATTGCTTTGAAAACACAGCTTAAAAAACCAAGTTGGGTAAATATATTAAAGATGGTCTCTAGGCTAGTTTCACTTAATCTGATGTGAACATTCAGATTTAGTTATATTTCCTATAAAAAGATTTTACTGTGTTTACAGGGGAATATTTTTTCAGTTTTGTATTGAAGTATGAAAGTACTTACCCATTTGGTTTGGAGTTTCACCTATTTGGGCCCTAACCAGTTTATTTCCCTTACCTTAAAGCTATTTCTTGTGTGTGTCAGGTCACTTAGGGAGTGTTAACAGATTGAGTCCTGTCCTAGAGTTTCTGATTTAGTAGGTATGGGTTGGGCATTTGGATTTCTAACAATTTCTCAGTTAATGCAACAAATTTTAAATGCAGATACTCTGAAAACATCTGAATCTGGCTCTTTCACAGTGTTATATGATCATGCAATAACCTAAATGATCAGAATTCACTTACTTATTTTTACTGTATCTTGAAGTATTGTCATCTACATTGCATTTTACCTATTATAATACTAATAATTTTCCTCCCATCATATGCAAGTGTTTACTTATTATTAACTCACAGTAGTCCTCTGAGGTAGTTAATTGGTTTTATGACAGAGAGATCAGGTTACCTAGGAAATTATTTAAGCCAGAGAATCATGTTCCTAGATCTTTCTAATGTTCTATATTATTTTTTAAATAGGAGATTATGGTGGGTTCCATGTTTCAAGCAGAGATTCCAGTTGGCATTTGTAGATACAAAGAAAATGAAAAAGGTGAGCTACTTAGCTGGACTTACACTGTTGAAATAATAAACTATTATTATATGTAAATGTAATAAGACTATGGTAGTCTACTAAATAATCCCATTGGTTTATAAAAAGAGGCCTGCATTATTTTCTGTAAGGACCACTTACTATTTTCTGTTTGTCCTTATACGTTTAGTAGAAAAAGTGAATACCTTTTTTGTGTGTGTGACTTAAAATACCCCAGGCATATGTTTCCTTTTAACTTTTTTTCATATGGCGAATCTTGGTACTATACTGTTTTTAACCTTTATAACTAAAAGCAGGTCATTTTGTGTTAATGTTAAAACAGGTTTAAAAACAAACTAAAAGTTATGTATAGTGACAAAAGCTTATAATCCCAGGTTATGGGAGGCAAAGGCAGAATTGTAGGTCTGAGACATTTCTGGCCAACATAGATTCAACTGATACAAAGCTCCTTTGTATCTGAGTGTGTTAGCTCAATTCCAAGAATTTAGGAAGTCAAGATGCAAAGGATTGAAGTTTAAGGTTAGTCCATGCAAAAAGTTAACAAGACCCAAACTTTAGCAAAAATGCTGGATGTGGTGGTCCACTTGTCTTTCCAGTTATGTAAGAGATGTGAATAGAAGAACCATGGTCCATGTTGCCCCCCTCACCCCCCCCAAAAAAAGAAAATATATATATTTGAGACCCTAAGTGCCTGCCTAGCAAGCATGAATTTCAGTATTCCACCCCCAACTTCCCCACCAAAAAAAAAAGAAAAACATGTATTTAAAATAACATGGGGATACTATTTACTTCCTACATGATTTTTAAGTCATTTTATCTACCAAGTCCTAAAGTCAATCCTGAGGATTTTTTTTTTTGTCGGTTGTGGGGCTTGAACTCTGAGCCTGGGTGCTGGCCCTCAGCTCTTCAGCTCAAGGCTAGCACTCTACCACTTGAGCCACAGTGCCAGTCCGGTTTTCTGAGTGGTTTATTGGAGATAAGGGTCTTACGGGCTTTTCCTGCTCAGGCTGGCTTTGAACTGTGATCCTCAGATCTCATCCTCCTGAGTAGCTAGGATTGTAGGTGTGAGCCACCAGCGCTCAGCTCCTGAGGATTTTTTTAAGAGGCTTTCACATTAGTCATTTTATATGGGTTTGAGATATTTTTAATGAGTTTATGGACAACATGACACATCACTCAAAGCTAACCATTTTTCTTTTCTTCCCATTTCAACTTTACATATAAAGTCCCCTTTGTAGTTGAGAAATCTTTCATTCTTCATTTTTTTTTTCCTATTTGATTCATATTCTTGATATGTATGTACTCTCAGCAGTAGATCAAAAACAGTTTAGGAACACCACAGGCCAGTAAATTTGCATTTAACATGGAGGTGTTAAAATATCGAAGTACAGTAACAGACAAAGTGTAAACTGGGAATATAATTTGGACTGTTTTAGAATCAGAAAAGGCAATGCAGATTATTTATAGAAATGCTAATTATTCTCACTTCATGGTCATTATCATGGTTATTTTGATTGTATAAAATGAAGTATTATTCTTAAGGTTAATGATATAATCAGTTCTATTCTACTCACTTAGCCATAGTTCCAGGAGTCTGGCTTGTCATTTGGCACTATCCTGGTGATGACTGTCTTCTCTGCTTAAGTAAACCCTTGTGTATACCTTGTGGTTAAAGTTTGCAGAATTGTTAGTTCCAGAAATATCTTTTAGGTAGTTTGTATTTGTTCCATAGCTTATGAAGATACTTGTACCATACCTGGAGGACTATGGGACTCTTCATCTACATCATTTTGAGACAGTCAGGCCCACCCAAGAATATACATAATCTCAGTATATTTCCTTTGGAAAAAACGGGCTGTACAGAAAATAAAAATCAGTAACACTATTTTTACATTCACTTTATCATTGAAGTTTATTGCATTTAGAATTTAGTTTTACTAGAATTATATCAGCAGTTTAGAAAGGAATAACTTGTTAAGGAAATTTGGATACTGTTCTTTCAACTGCATTTTAAAGGAGAGTATGCATTTTGGGAAATAGAAGAAGGTGAAGGTAATTCTAAAGTATATGTGTATAGACAGAGGAGCAAAGTAAACTCATGTGAAAATATATTGTCTGGTACTGAGGCTAACTAGTACACTTGATTAGCTGTTGTAACAAGGAAAGTTAGAGTTATCTTTGGTCTGTGTTTTTTTGTGTGTCAGTTTCTTTTCTATTGTCATATATAACAGGAGCATTAAAAACTTCCTCACTAGTTACTACTCTATCTCTACTTCTACAAACAAACTTTTCAAAGGAGTTTTTTTATTATTTCACCTTCGCCCAGAGGACAGGTCTCATAATATTTACTTCCTTGTTAGTAAATCCAGGGTAGCTTTTTCACTATTTATCCTGGTCATTCTTAGTCTTTGAAATTACCCTGTGGACACTTTAACTTGGTTTCTGTAATGCCACTCTTGCTCTTAATTCTATCTTATATGGCTTCCTCTTCTGTTTTCAACTTTCTGTTACTCAGGTTCTTATCTTATATTCTTTTTCTCTCTTTAAATCCCAAGATTTAGGTTTTAGTCTTATAATAGAAATAATAGAGAAACTTTAATTTTTTTTAACTGTGACTTCTGTATATGGAAAGGATTTACTTTCTAATGGAATTCCAAAATATAAAGGGGCTGGGATATAGCTCAGTGGCAAAGCGCTTGCCTAGCAAGTGCAACGTCCTGGGTTCGATCCTCAGTACCAAAAAAGAAAAGACAAAAAAAATACAGTTAAAAAAGACCCAAACAAACAAACAAAAAAAAACCAACCCTGGAAGTGGTGCTATGGCTCAAGCAGTAGAGTGCTCGCCTTGAGCTGAAGGACAGCGCCCAGGCCCAGAGTTCAAGCCCCATGACCGACAAAAATAATAATCATAATTCCAAAATATAAAGAATATAGTAAAACCTTTTACAGTGGGGCACATCCATAATTATAGCAATTGGGAAACTGAGGCAGGAAGATCTTAAGTTTGAAGCCAGTATATAACAAAAAACAAACGGAAAGAAACAAGAATTAAAAAGCAGTGTAAAAATTGGCCTTCATTCCACCACTAAGAAATGATTAGTATTGTTAATGTCTAATGCACATTATTCTAGAAAAACCTTTTAAAAACAAACATAGGGCTGGGAAGATGGCTCAGTGGTCGAGCACTTGCCTTGCATGTATATGAGGCCCTGGGTTCAATTCCTCAGCACCACATAAGCAGAAAAAGCTGGTAGCACTGTGGCTCAAGTGGTAGAGCACTAGCCTTGAACTGAAGAGCTGAAGGACAGCGCCCAGGCCCAGAGTTCAAGCCCCACGACCGACAAAAAAAAAAAAAACCATAATATTCAAAATATTTTGTTTTACTAATTTAGTGTATGAAAATGAAGATCAACTCTTGTGGGACCCTGAATATTTACCAGAAGATAAAGTAATTGTATTTCTTAAGGATGCATCTCGAAGAACAGGTGATGAGAAAGGTGTAGAAGCTATTCCTGAAGGATCTCATATAAAAGACAATGAGCAGGTAGGTCTGAATAAGAAACATTTGAGGCTTTCTGCATGTAAATTACTCCCCCCCACACACTTTATAAATGTGAATATGAAAATGTTACCACTTTAACTGTTAACCACCAAAATTGCTATACTGTTAGTAGAGAATCCAAGTTTGTCGGCCATTGTTACTATGCCTATTTCCTTAGCATGATTTCGGCTCAAATAAATAAGAGTCTTGATAATTTAATTTTCTTTTATATACTTTTGTATGGCTTTTAAAAATTCTTTTGATCATCCCTGAGGATCTGTGGATATCATCAATTTAGAATATTTGGATAATGTCATTATATTCATGTTAACACTAGTACTAGAAGCTAACAGCAGGTTTAAAAAAATTTTCATAATTAAGTACAAATTACTTTATGAGTACCATGCATCTTGATCAGTGTCACCACTTTTATCCTCTTCCATCCTTCCCAATTCTTCCCCTTAGTTTTCTTAAATTCACAAGACATGTACATTGAATATTACGACTACATTCTCCCCTACCTTCCTCTCCATTGACCCTCCCTCCCCTACCCCCCTACCACCTTTCAAGTGCCATTTTCCTGGTATTCTAAATTCTTCGGATTCTATTGCCCCCCCCCCCCCCATTAAATTATTTATCCATTTCACTTTGCACCTTCTTCAGGGTAGTTAATTATGAGGCTTAAAAATCATGTTTGTTTGTAATTGGTATGGTATACATGTTACTTATCCTTGAAAGCATAAAAAGCAAACACTAGATTTAAGAACCTTTATTCTTTAAAAAAAAAGTTACCACTTGTACTGAACTGTTTTTAGTCTGGTCATATGCATTGAAGCCTTTTTTCCGCTTAGGCCTTATATGAATTGGTTAAATGCAATTTTGATACAGAAGAAGCATTAAGAAGATTAAGATTTAATGTAAAAGCAGCTAGAGGTAAGCATAAATGTTAAACTTTTATGTTTGTATGATTTAGCAGAATTTTAATAAATTCATGAGTAACTAAATATATCCTCAGCTAAATAATATTGATCCTTCTGAATTTAGTAAATATTTTCAAAATGCGGGTGTTACACAAGGCATAATGGGGAATAGGAATAATTCTGCTTTTCTTTCATTATGGGAAAAATAAGGCCATTTAAGTGAAAATATTAATATACATATTTCCTTATAATCTCATAGCATGTTGAGGGTTTTCGTATTTGATTTGGTAGTAGCCCTATGAGGTAGCAGATATTGCTTTCATTTTCTTTTTTATTCTAAATCTTTTTTACTATAAAAATCTCACTTCATAAAAAGAGCACTGTTTATATATATAAATATTTTTAATATGTACATAAACATGTATATTTAAGAAACTATTGAGAGATTCTCAACAAAAAAATTGAGGATCTTCTAAGTTCTGAGAGCTTAACCTGAACTCCTATCTCCTGTGGTAACTAGGAACCTAGAGAGGAAAGGTAAAAAGTAGTTATGTCCACTTCTTCCTTCTTGAGAGTTAAAGAGCCCTATTAAAAATAACGTTTTGTTGCAAGGAACTGGTAGTTCACACCATAATCCTACCTACTCAGGAGGCTGAGATCTGAGGATTATGGTTAAAAGCCAGTTGGGGAAGTCAAGTCTGTGAAACCCTCATCTCCAATTAGGAAGTAGAGCTCTGGCTTGAAGTGTTAGAGCACTGACCTTAAGTGAAAGAGCTCCAGGACAAGCACCTAGGCCCTGAGTTCAAGCCCCATGACTGGAAAAAACAAAAACATACAAAAAACCTTTGTAGTTAATCTCAATGTAGTAAAGAACTTACAAAGAAAGCTTCTAGAACAAAGTACCTTAGTTTGAAGGCAAAAATTAATTCGCTTTATTGCATTTTAGAAATTCATTTGTATAACACAAGAATATAAAGTTAAATATTCATTTATAATATTATAGATCATAAGTTTCTATTAGTTTTTATCTCAAACCTGATTTAAATCTTTTATTAAGATCTAATCTTTTTTATGCAAGTGGTTACAAATGAATTAACTCAACTACAGCAGACTCTATGGAAAGCTCAAATAGTATAATTTTTTAGAAAGACTAGGTTGAAACCCAGCAAAATAAACCAGGAATGGGTACATGCAAGACAAGGGGGAGGGCTAAGGGGAGAAAGGTAAATAAATGGGTAGAGGTGGAGGAGAGAATACAGTCAAGAATTAATTGTATATACCACAAAATTGAGAAAAGTAAGGGAAGAGGGGTTGAGAATGTTGAAGGGGATGACTGATCAAGATGCATTGTATTCATAAACTGCATTGTTAAATGAGACTTCCTTTGAATAACTACTTAAAGATTGTTTTGTGTGTGTGCTGGTCCTAAGACTTGAACTCAGGGCCTAGGCACTATCCTTAAGCTTCTTTTTGCTCAAGGCTAGTGCACTACCACTGAGCCACAGCTGGCTTCTGCCCTGGCTAGCTCTGAACCATAATCCTCAGATCTTAGCCTTCTGAATAACTAGAATTAGAGGGGTGAGCCACTGGCATCTAGCTGCTCTTAAAGATAATTTTTAAAAAGAGATATTTCAGTTGTGATGAAAAATTTATTTTAGTAAAAAGGGATTAGTAGTAAACAGGAAGTATTTCTGTGAACATATTTAAGGAAACTTAAAGAATTGAAAGGGATTTAATAGAGTTGGGTTTTGAAAAATTAGGAGAGCTGTGTGCCTATGTGCTGTCAACACTCCAGAGGCTGAGGCTAGAGATGTGTAGACCAAATCATTCAAAATTTTTGTCTTAGTTCATTTTTAACCAGAATGTTAAGTTTTTGTCTGCAGTTTTGTTATGGGTAACATTTTAGAGAATTTTGCTTAACAGTTTTTCATCCCCCATTTTATCAGAGGAATTATCTGTATGGACAGAGGAAGAGTGTAGAAATTTTGAACAAGGGCTGAAGGCCTATGGAAAAGATTTTCATTTGATTCAGGCTAATAAAGTAAGTAATGATGTGTGTTGTCTTTTTTTTACAAAAAAAGTTAGTTTAGCAACCCAGTTGTCATCTTAATTTGCTGTGTTCTCTAATGTTGGTTTCTTTGCCATATAACTGATTATTAAATGAGCAAACCTAGACTTCCTGACATAAATTTGCCAGGTGACTGTTTTCCTAGTGTATGATATTGGAAATATTTAAGAATTGAATTACATTTACAGTATATTAATTAACTTTCTGTTGGGGATGTGTTGTACAATACAATTATTGATACCTACTTCCCAGAGTCTGTAACAGGATATCTATCTCAAGGTGGGTCTTTAAAATAAATTTAAAACTTAAAAGCACTTTTAACCTGAAACTTAAAATAGTACTATATTTGCAACATTCTTAGTCTAATATTGCATTCCTAAGATGAAATTTCCAAAATCATCCATCTCAGTAGATTGGCTTTATTACTAATTATTAGTTATTATGAATTATGTATTTACCATGATAATATATATCCCAAAAGAACTTTATAATTATTTGTATTTGTTATTGTTGTTTTTAATAGTATTGTAGTTTGACCTGAAGGCTTCTCATTTGCTAGACAGGCAGGCAGACAGGCAGGTAGGCAAGCCCTATACCACTTGAGCCAGACTCCAAGCCCAGGAGTTCAGTTCTTACAACTAAACTTAGGATTCATTATGGTAAATACACAATTTAATAGAATAAGAAAAGGAGTTATTTATCTTGAGAATAGACCAAACAATATTAATGTCTCAGAGATACATATAGGAAATTAACTCCTAGATTTATGAACATCACATTTTTACTTAGTGCAAGGAGCTTGGCTTTTCATATTTTCTTAAGGCTATTTTCTTAAGTTTCATGTGGTAGGTTGAACAGGACTCTGTTGTAAATAACTAAACTATGTCTAAGTCTCTAAGTAGTTTTTTATTCTCATTTTAGATAATTTTGACCATGACTCTGGTATTCTGTTAATTTAACTTCAGTTTATGAGCCTTAAATAAGCATTATAGATCCTGAGAGTTCATTTTTTTTTAATTTTTCTGTGCAATAACTACTTAATTCTTAATTTTCTTGTTGCATTTTGGTAATTTACATAGGGTATTAATGAAAGAAGGGAAATTTTAGTATTTAGGATTACTTCATAAGTGATGCAGTTAGTATAAAAAATGTATGCCCCTATTTTGAACAAATCATTGGATAAACTCAAGTATAGCACTCAGGACTGCATTGTGCTAGTGATTGGTTATGTATGGCTTGAATTCCTTTTAAAAATCCCATCAGTCTGTATATGGTGGTATGGCAGTTGACCCCTGTAATTTCAATTACATGAGAATACATTTGCCATAGTGGTACACACTAGTACATACATAGTGGTACCATACAGCCCAGCTACATGGGAACCCAAATATTACTAAATATAAGACCTTATTTATTTGTAGATATTTGAGATACTGATCTTTCAGTATTACAGAATGTGTGTTAGGTAATATACTAGTTGTTCTAGTGAACAAAGACATAATTCTTTGATGGAAAAAAAGTCCATTGAAACATATATTTGAGATTAAAATTCAGCTCATAATCATGACTCCTGTTATGAAGTCTTAAAGATATTTTTATATTAATGTTACATGCCCCAAATGTCTTCAGATTTCACTTTCAGTAAAGTACAATTTACTTGTTTTAAATCTAGAAATAAGATTCTGTAGAGGCCCAGAAAGAAGCTAAAGAGAACCTTATTTTTAAAAAGTCAGATTTCTTTCAATCTCAGCAAAATGGGTGAACATTATAAAGTACAAGTAGAGAGAAAGAAAGAAAAGAGTAAATTGGGAAAGGGTATTATTCATCAATCATTGTCCTTAGGTGAGATCAGAGCCACAAGAAACCTGCTTCAAGATCAAAGCTTTATGGGTTAAATCAGTATTGTGTCCAAACACTAACGAAGACACCCTTTGCACCCTCTGCTATCCTATTTAAATTCCCAGTGTTTTACTCATACATATCAACTCTACCTTCTCCTTAATAAACCAGGGAACAAAAGTGGAGGGGGTACTATCAGCATCATAATCCCATAGTTGTTAAAACATTCTGTGAAAGGAGCTGTTGGTCTCCTTATTTGTGTACATGTAGGTGCAGCACAGTCAGCCAAGGACTAACAGTATAAACATTACAATCCAATAGCTTTTCTATCACTATTTCATATTTGCAGACTTTGTAGAAAGATAAATTGGTTGAGACTGCTATTGGAACTTGTGATATAATCTTTTAGGGGATTTAAAGGTAGATTCTTAGGTGGTCTGTGAGTAAAATTTTAACCTAAATCCCACTTCCAAATATTTTTTCTTTTTTGTTTCTGTTGTTGTTGTTTCTTTTCTTTTTTCTTTTTCTTTTTATTTGTACTGGGACTTGAATTTAGGGCCTAAGTGTTTTCACTTAACATTTTTGCTTGCAGCTGGTATTCTACTGCTTGAGCCACACCACCAATTCAGCATTTTGCTGGCTAATTTGGAATATGAGTCTCACAGAGTATTTGTCCCAGTTTGGCTTTGAACTGAAATATTCACTCAGACTCCCAAGTAGTTAGGATTATAAGTGTGAGTCACTGCTGACTGTCCTATGTATTTCCAACAGAAGAATATTTATTTTATTCCAAATTATTAGGATGGTGGAAGTCTTTTAAAAAGCAGAATGAATGCTAAATGTCAAAAGACCAGTTACCAATGCATTATTTCTCTTAATGGAAATTTAGAAAGAATAGCTTTCATTAGTTACTTCAGTCCTGTGTTTCATACATAATGTGTCAATTAAGGATTGACAGATTCCAGATTTTTTTTTTAATTTTGTAAGTCTGTTAGGGAAAATAATTCTTAAAAACAATTGTTTGTTGTAGGTTCGAACAAGATCAGTTGGTGAATGTGTAGCATTCTATTACATGTGGAAAAAGTCAGAACGCTACGACTTCTTTGCTCAGCAAACTCGATTTGGAAAGAAGAAATATAATCTTCATCCTGGTGTAACGTGAGTTGCTTCCTTTATGTATATGTGTGTATATATATATATATATATATATATATATTTACATATGTATATTTTTGCTGAGATTTCCTAGATTGTTTAAAAATACAGTTTTTAGATTCTTTTATAATAGAATTTCTCCTGCTTTAAATGTGTTTCCTATTCACATACCTTCATAGGGCATTTAGATTGTTCAGTATTATAGAAAATTGTAAACAACAGTTTGTACTGAGACAACTAATACCATAAAATTAAGGTTTTGAGTATATCTACTTATTCATGTACTGCTAGAAAGAAATGAATCAGAACAACTGTGAAGGCATTTTTGTTCAAATTCTTTTCCATTCAGTAAAGAATAAGCAATTTTAGTCTTAATGATACTTTAAAAGCAGTGAAAATAGTTAAAAGGGGAGAGACTTAGCTCTTTCACAACTGCAGAATAACTAGTTACAAACCTTTAGGGGCTGGGAAGGTGGCTCAGTGGTAGAGCGCTTTCTTGCATGCTTGAGGCCCTGGGTTCAATTCCTCAGCACCGCATAAGCAAAAAGAAAACAGCCGGAAGTGGCGCTGTGGCTCAAGTGGTAGCGCACTAGCCTTGAGCTGAAGAGCTGAGAGCCAGCGCCCAGGCCCGGAGTTCAAGCCCCACGACCGGACCCAAAAAAAAAAAAAATTTCAAGTTCTCTTGAAATAAAAAAAAACCTTTAAAGAGGAAAGGGACATAATTTTTTCCTTACCTAATCTATTTTGATCACAAGAACCAAACAACATTGGAATGTAGATGTTCCAAAAAGCAAAAAAGTGTAAGGATATAATCAGATCAAACTTCACTGTCATTTCTATTACAGATTTTTATAGAGAAAAGAACATAGTGGTTTCCCTTGTACCTGTTCTGAATCTTTCATCAGAAGTAATACAATTAGCTTTCTTCCACTGACATAAATATCCCAATGTATATGTCTTTAATTCCTAATGCAGTCCTCATACATTGAATTATCGTAGCCTTATTCATTCTCCTTTGACACAAAGCAATCTACTAGTACAACTAGTGATCTGTTGTAAGTGCAGAGTATTGAACACTTGGTCTGACAGGAATTGCTTTAAAGTGCTATTTAATTCTTATGCTGGAATTAACTTTATAATCCTTTATTGTTTCCTTCGATATTTCTTACTGTTTATAGCATAAAATAATGCATTGCTATTACTTGATTTGGTCAGTGTACCCCAGTAAAGGTATCTTTAAGAATAATTGCTTTTGACAGATACGCTTGTTATATATGTTTGATTGAGCTTTCAAACTCCTAGACTTGACTGTTTCTTGGTCATGTTCATTTGTAAATAAGGGCCTCTGCTGGCAACTTCCTTGGAGAATCCAAGCTCAAAGAAAAACATCCAAAAAGGAATAAATGAGGGCTGAGTTTAGTGGGAAAGCATGTTTCTACCATGTGCACAGTACTAGGTTTATCCTCTTTCATCAAAAAAAAAAAAAAAAGGAATAGGAATAAAACAAGTGTGATTGACCCTTGGAAATCATAAGCATTATTCATTGGTAATATTCAAGCATAATGATATAGAATTAGATATCACTATTCATACTTGAATATTCATAATTTTAAAACTTCTGTAGGGAAAAGCAATAGTAACATCTTTCATTTTTTTCACCCATTTCAGAAATAATATTCACACATGAACTACAGTCAATCTGTCGTCATCAGCAGTAAGAACATAAGAATTGCCAGGCTGAGTCAGACCCCATGGTTCATCCAGTTTTCTTTTTCAGAAAGCATCACCAAGGAAAGTGTTGTGGGCTGGCTTAGTCGGCTCTCTGAAGTCAAGCTCAACAGGTTAGGGATGTAACACCAAACATTCTAGTTTCTCTAATGATCTCCATAATTTCTGAGAACTTTTTGAAGATACCTATATATGTAAGCTTGATTTAAAAAAAAAAAAAGTTAAGTGCTCTAAAGGTAGAGAAACCATAATTAAAAGAAACTCATTTTCTTAGGTTATATGAGTTAACAGTAGTCGTGTGCTATAATGGTGTATGAAGTGAACAATTTCTTCTTTTAATTTTAACTGAAAGAACCATAGCTTTTTAACTGATATCCATTCTTTTTAGCTGTATTATATCTTTATAAGAAGTGACTAAACTACATTATTTTCCATAGAGAGGGAAGTTGTGGGTTTTTTTTAATTGTTGTAAGCATTGAGAAATTTTTGTTTCTGCTAATAATTACATTTTAAAAGACTACATAAAACATTCGTATCTTTAGAGAAACAAATTGGTTCTCATCCTTTTTAGATCAAAATCCATATTTTAGAGTGCCTTATCCTTAAAGTATTTAAATTTTTCGCTTAAAGTGTTGCCTTCCATTATTCTCACAATGAAGCCCATTTGCCACTTTTCTGCCAACAGCCTTTGAAAGAACTACTGCAGCTTATTCCTATTTACTACCTAGAAGAATTGAAAGCCATATACATATTGGAGATGTAACTAAAATACTCATCCTTCCAAATAATTTTAAGTAAAAATGGATTCAGCATCACTCCAGTTATTTGTACTCCAACCTTTCAGATGGTCTGTGGGACTTCTTTCCTGACGTATTAACCCAGAAAGTAAAGATGATTATTACTCTCTCACAGGATTAGTGCTGCATTCAGAAATTTAAATAATTTTGATATCTGATCACTTCTAGCTTCCTTTTGCTTGCTTGGATTTTAACAAATCCCTTTGGTGTTCTTCTTGTCATTTGTGTTTCTGTTTCAAACTTGTTATATAATTACAATGAATAGCATAGAGCTAAGAGGTCTTAAAAACCATTGTACTTACTAATTTCCTATACTTTGATAAGGAAAGTAATGCCTAGAATAGTAAATTGATTAGGTCATGATTTTATATGTTTCTGTGATATGTATTACTTTTACACTTAGACTATTTGAGGTCTGGTACCATGTTCATATATATAAAATATACCCATAACCCAGATTACAATGGTGATCATGTTTTTAGATTATAAGAATAATTAATAATATGCAGTATATTACCACAGACTTTTGGAAAAGTCCTAAGAGCTTTCACTCATTCCTACTTAAATTCCTTTTACCCTGCTCACAAAATTCTGAAATTCATTTTAATATTTCTATTATTCTGAAGGAATTTTAAAATAATTTTTTTCAGTATTTATTGAGCTTCTGTTTGATACCATGTGTGTGTTATGTAGCAGTGATAAAATTGACTAAAATTTCTTCCCATGGAGGATTATATCCTATACAGCAAACTTTCTGTGAAATGGGGAAAATTAAATATTCATTCCCACAATCTGTTAGATCCTTGTAACAACTATCCTCCTGTTACCAATGCTTAAAGACAACCATAAACACTAATATATGTGGCTGTGTTCTGATTAGCATTACAACAAAGGTGGAGGCCACAGCTATAGTTTTCTGACTTTCATTCTAGTGATTGATGAACACTACTAGTTCAAGAACCTTTTCGTACACATATTAAGCAACCTTATTTGGTAGGTAGGGCAGGTGTGATTTATCTGAATTGTCTAGGTAAAGACACTCATCTTCAAAGAAACGAGTATTTAGCCCAGATCTTCTACCCAACCCAGTGTCACCACAACTGCATAGTTCAGAAATGACTAAGGAAGGAAGGAGCTCACATACAATGAGATATTGACATAATAAAGCAAGCAGATAAATGCAGGACTGTCGCTTATTATAGCTCAGATCTGGCAAAAAGATGGGTTTGGGAAGTGACCAATTCTTTCCATTAGGCCCCAGTTTCTTTTTCAAGTATTGCTTTTAAGAGCTTTAAAATCCTGGACTGCACCCATTCAGAAATTATTTTGTACTTTCACTATTATCTCTTCATTTACAGATCCTCCAGTTTTAGTTGGGCCACTCTGGGTACTTCCCTGAAAATTTAAGTCTTTAAACTTAAAGTTTGCTAGTTTAATTCTTTTATATATTTCCCCTATATGCATGTAGCCAAAAAGAGCTTCCCACTTAAATATTTAGATCATGACACTATACTGGAATGAAAGTAAGTGAAAATTAGCATATATTTTTTAAAGAAGGTTGTAAATTTAATCTCAGCTAATTTTAATTAAGAAATTTAATTGTATTATCGCTTTGTTTTAAGGGATTACATGGATCGTCTTTTAGATGAAAGTGAAAGTGCTGCATCTAGTCGTGCACCATCCCCTCCCCCAACTGCCTCAAACAGTAGTAACAGCCAGTCTGAGAAAGAAGATGGCACTATAAGCAATAACCAAAATGGTAAGTAACTGAAGAAATCTTTTTACTTCTTCATTACAAGGGACCTAGTCCTTCAGCATCTCAAGAAATCAGTTTAGTCTGTTTTGTGTCTGTGTGGGTCTTGGACCTAGGTGCTATCTTTGAGCTTTTTTGCACTCTACCACTTGAGCCATAGCTCTATTTCCTGTATTTGGGTAGTTAATTGAAGGTAACAGTCTCATGGACTTTCCTGCCCACGCTGGCTTCCAACTATGATCTTCAGATCTCAGCCTCCTAAGTGGCTAAGATTACAGATGTGAATACTGGCACCTGGCACAGTTTAGGCTTTTATTTTAGATTTAGAAAGTGAACATTAAAATACAAAACATTGGCAGATACATATTTTCACACAGTAAAATTAATTAGAACTTTCAGTGACATCACAAAAAGTAAATTTAATAATGACCATTTGTTTTAAGAAATTTGTTTTCAGTGGCATCTTTTTTTCTATCTAGTTGAAATGATGCTAGATAATAAATATTACTGTTAACTTGCAGAACAAAACTTTTTCATAGCAGAAACACAAAAATTTATTTAATACCTTTCAAGCTCCTCTCACTTGAGTAAAGTACATAAAGTTAAAAAGTAGATGTATAAGGACATTATTTTTAATATCTAAGTTGCCTTTTAAAAAGCATAATCTTGAAAAATGAGAAAACATAAAGTAGGCAATCTACTTGTGATTTGATATTCCCAGAAATATACTTAGCTCCATGAAGAAGAAAAAGCAGAAGCCATACTGTGCACATACTCATGTATGCAAGCACACAAAGCAGGTACTGAGAGTTTAACGTGGCCTGGGTGTACTGTCCCTTACCTTTTTTGCTCAAGATTGGCACTCTTTCACTTGAGCCACAGTTCTGCTTCCAGTTTTTTGCCGGTTAATTAAAGAGTCTCATAGACTGTCCTGCCCAGGCTGGCTAATTCTCAGATCTTGTCCTTTTTAATAGGTATGATTGTAAGTATGAGGTACCAGCCCTCAGCCATACTGATTTTTTTGAGTCAAACAAATGTTATTATTCAGAATATACAGAGGACCAGATGTCACTGTGCTGACTGGCAACAACTAGTCATAGAATTGCTTTGACTTTATTTTGATTAAAATGTTTATCCTAAGTAGAGAATATTACTAAACAGAGAGAGTAATGTATGTACATCCCTGTCCTCTTTAAGGGGGAAAGTGGTGAATTTGTGAGAGCCAGGGGAAAAATAACCTCTGCCTGAGAAGAAGTAGAAGAGAAGCACTGTGAAAACTTTGTGCTCTATTCTGAGTTTGATCTCACACTGGCTGTAATATAATTAGTTCATTTTATGATTCTGATTTATTCCCTCATTACTTCCCTTCTAAGAATGAGCCAAACAGATAAAAGTTAGGACCCAACAGCCAGTCTTAGACTATGTAAGACTGCTCATGAGTATGAATATATAATGCCAGCTACAACTCCAGAGTAGCACATGAATGACTTTGTGACCAGGAATTCTTTTCCTGCTCAAAATATCGTACCACCCAATGAAGTCATTTCCTTCACCTTCTTATTTGATGAAAAAAACACTGTTATAGTTGGAAAGTATTCTGAAGTAAACTACGAAGTATTCAGTAGCTTGGATGATACTCATATCATTTTTAGTTTCAACCAAGATTTTCAGATTTCTCAAAGGAACTTTTTAGCCTAATTTAATTTGCTTTATCAGGACTTTACTATGTTGAAATATTAAAGCTACGTTGGGCCTAATCAGTCTGACCTAGCACTTTGGACTTGGTACTATATAGAATTATTCCTTCAGGAGCATATGTATATGTTAGTGAATTCCTGTATGCACTCAGATGTTGAATTATTTGAGGTTTATCCTCTATGCTGAATACTTTAAGTCATTAAAATTTAATTGTCCCCAGTGGTACATCCTGTAGTGTACTTGCTGTCACAAAATGTGTGTTCTGTTTTGTAGTTAATTCTAGCATCTTTCTTCTTATTACTTACCTTTAATAGAATAATTATGCTTCACATTTTTCATTCTGGATGGTTGTTTTTGGTTTTGGTTTTTTGGTGAGCTTCTTTTTTTTTTTTGTCTTCTTGGGTATTTTGTTTTCCTTTTTGTTTTGTTTTTTGACACAAAATTTCAAACCCATAATCTTCCTGAGTCCTAGGATTATAGATATATACCACCATTCGTGACCATTATTTTTATTTAAGATGAGCATTTTCAGTTGTATATTTGATTACTGCAGCATTAATTTTTTGTTGAGTGACAGATTACTTAACTGTATGTAGATAAACATAGCATGTGAAACATTAAAATGTCGTGATATCTTGATTTTAAATAGCAGAAAACTTGTGCTTTTTTAATAAAAAATACTGGTTTGTTTTGACATGGTTTTAGAAAGTCATTATCCTTTTGCTAAATCTAAATAGTTTATTCCTAAATTTTTTTGATTTAGCTTATTTAGACTTGTAGATCCAATACTTGTTTGTTGTTGTATGACAACTAGAATGCTTTTAACATATGCCAATTCTGGTCTTCATTCTTTGCTTTTATTAAATGACAATAATCTTTACAACAGCCTTATATAAACCTGTTTTACTTCTTATTGTATATGTAGTGAAACAAATATTGAGAGTAAAGTCTTTGCCTAACACCTCATAGCTGGTAAAGTTATGTAGCCCAAATTTAGAGACATCTGGTGTTTTGATGTTTTATAATCATTTATAAATTTAACTTTTTTAAGTTAGCAACTTCATTTATATTTCTTTCAACTTAGGGGTGTCAGCTAATGGGCCAGGTGAAATTCTAAACAAAGACGAAATAAAAGTCGAAGGGTTACACATTAATGGACCAACAGCTGGAAATAAGAAACCACTTCACACAGATATGGATACTAATGGTTATGAAACAGATAACCTTACCACTGACCCAAAACTTGTCCATATGACTGCAAGAAATGAAAATGATCTTGATGATAAAAGTGAGAGACCTGCCAAAAGGCGAAGGGTGAACAGCAGTGGAAAAGAAAGTCCAGGTTCTTCTGAATTTTTGCAGGAAGCAGCCTCACATGGAAAATTGGAAGAACTTGAAAACACGGATGACTAAACTTCAGAAATACTTTACTTTCTTTGGAGTAAATTCTGGTGTGACTAAAATTTTCAGGGTTGATGGGTTACCTTAAAAAGATGATTTCCTTGAAACAGTTCATTAAATTTGAAAATTTGAAGTGAGTTCCTCACTTTAGGAATAAGATTTAAGAATTCTGCCTTTCTCAGGTTCTTTTACATTCAAACTGTCAAAGGCCCTCTTAAGTATACCAAAAAAAAAAATTTTAGTCCGTTTGATGACCTAAAGATATCTATCTATACTTTCTTATTTGAAATATTGATCATAAAATTTCACTACACAGTAATTTTTCTTTATTTTGGTAGGGAGGAATTTTAAAAATCAAGTTCAAATTTCTGCTCAAATCTCTTGTTTCTGGTTTTCTTTAATTATCTTTACAATAGACATTTTCCTATTCATACAAATTGAGTATCATTATTAAGGAAACCCTTATGAATCCTGAAAGTTATGCAAGCATGATTTTTTTTATATATAGAAGTTTAAAAATAAACCAAGTCAGGTTTGTGTATGTAAAATTGTTGACATCAATGATGTCTTTCCATATTCTTATCTGGGCTTAAGAAATACATTCTGTATTTTTCCAGATTCTTTGTAGCCTTTGAAAGATTTTTACAGTACATATGTCTTGACTGAGCTGTCCTTTCTTAATACAAAAAAGCTTGTATAATTTTCTTAACTTGTACAGTTGGTAAACTTTTACGAAAAGAATTGATATTCTGAGTCTGTCAGCTTTCCTTTTATTTTGCTAAGGTTTTTCTAATGTTTTTAAGTGTTTGAGTAGTTAACAAAGTCATGTTTCTTATCCCTGTGGTAAAAGCATTCATAGGGGATTATGAAAATTTGTTTTGATGAATTTCTACTTAAGGACACAGTAGTTTAAAATCTGAAATTAAGCATGATATTTAAGTTGTGCAGGGATTTTTTTTGCATTTGCTATAATTTTCATAATTACTTTTGAAACAAAACAAAGGTTTGTTGTCAGGTTAAGTGCTTAAATGTATCATGCTTTCTAGAATCCTGTTTAGTTATTTGTATATGCATTATAAGATTACTCATCTTTGCATTACATTGACAGAAGGAAAGGTCAAGTGATATTTAGATATTGGCATACCCAGGTAGTAACTGCTGGCAGACAACAATAATTGGTTTCATGAGGAGAAAGTGAGGGAATTTATAGTTTTCAAATTCTTCCTGTTACAGTCCAGTTTTTTTAGATTTGGTGACATTTTCCCAAAATGAAAAGATACAGATAACCATTAATAAACACAGATAGGATTATCCACAAGCATAGCCTTGTCAGGGTATCATTTTATCTTTAGTGCAAAATTCTTGTTAAAAATGTAGTTTTGTACAGCTGATAGACCTATATCCAAACTTTTGTAAAAGATTATTAAAACTTCTCACACAGACATATGTTTCTTTTAGTTCATTTTCCACATCAGTTTAAGAACCAATAAATCCTCTGTAATCTTGTTTTTAATAGCTCAGTTGTTGAATGCAACTGAATAGAGTTTGCACTGAGTAATTATTGTTTAGGCCTTACCCCCCATGAAGTATTATCAAGAACATTTATTCTGACAGCTTCCTTCTTTAATGTGAACAGCTTTTCCCAAACAGTGTTAAAAAGCCACTCTGTAGCACTTGACTTCATATAATGTACATTTACTGTGGATATATATACAATTTTCCAAGTAAATCAATATTTTGAATAGAAGGGTTGAGAAGCATGAATTTTTGTTTTGTTTTTTAATGTGTTTTACTTAAAACATTAATTTATGCAGAATGGCAGTAGCTTTTGCTGGTTTTGTTTTTAGTTTTTTTGGTTTTGTTTTTTGGTATGGTGTGTGCTTGGGGTTTTTTGTTGTTGTTGTTTGTTTTGTGAGAAGGTGGGTTGTTTGGCCTTTTTGAGACAAGGTCTCACAGTATAGCCCAGGCTGGCCTCCAACTCACAATCCTCGTACTTCAGTCTCCTGAATATTGGGATTATTGGTGTACATAACCATGCCCAGCTACAATTCATTTCTATGTCAGATTTTATTATGAATCCAAAGCATCCTAGCTCTTTGTCAAAGATGACATAAAAATGTTTTTAAAGAATAGCAATGCTGTACTTTTTAAATTACTGCAATAGTGAAGGTGCCATTTTCACCTTTTTAAAAAGATGCATCTGTTTGCAGGTTTGTAAAGTTCTTGCAGACTTGCTACAGGAGCATTATATAAATTCTCAGGCATGTTGGCAAATACAGCACATGTGTAAATGCTAGGAAATTTTGTTTTCCTTAATCTCTTTAAAGTATGTTTGATGAAAGTCATTCCACTATTACACATAATACTCAGCTTCACCAATATTTAATTGTATTTTCTGACTCTACAGGTATTTCACTTTATTCTTCATATTATAGCCACTATAACTTGATAAATCATTGCACTATTTAGGATTTTTTGTAATATCATGCATTTAATTTGCTTAAGATTTAGCACCCTTTATAACTCTTGACAAATTGCATTGAGAAAAGAAGTCTTTGTTAATAGTTACTTAATCCCATCCCCCCATTCCCACCCTTAACAATGGACTGTCATTTTCATTTGGAATGATGTTGTTTTATGATGTATTTCCAAATAGGGTTCAGAATCTACAACTCAGTTCAACACAAGTCTGTTGAGCTTTAAAATGTATTTGAAGTAATATTTAAATAGTCATTTAAAATTATGAATTAGATGTTTTTAAATTTATGCATAGTAATTTTGCACTGTAAAATATTTCCCTTCTCCCATTTCCTTCTGCCATTCTGAATATGCTTATTAAATATTTTTAAACATATTTGTGTACATGTGATGTCATTCAATTAGTTCATTAGGTTAAATAGATTGTTAAACTTGTGTGCTGCATGTTATCATGCAAATATTTAGTGCCTTCCTTTTCCCATGCATATTGCACTTATTTTTTCAGTGATTCCTGGTCTTAGTTACATGGTACTAGGTGATATATTTTTTTTCTTATTCTCTGTGGAGATCTTTTAATACTAAAACCTCTCACCCATTTTTCTTCTTATATAGTTAAAAATAATATTTTTCCAGTAGAATTTATATCATATACAGAAATCATACTAACTTTGTAATAGAAATTACATTACTATCAGTAAATAATATAGACTGAGCACCCTGAATAATTGTAGGTTAGTGAACTTCTGTAGGCAACAATTAGATATGTTCTGAGGACTACTAAATACCAAATCAGAAATACTAATAACATTTTTTCAGATTCAGATACATCAGAAATGCCAACAGGAATTTTCAAAATTTATCTATTTGTTTTCTCACTGAAAATTATTTGTTTTGTTTTGTTTTTTGGGTCCGGTCATGGGGCCTGAACTCTGGGCCTGGGTGCTGTCCCTCAGCTCTTCAGCTCAAGGCTAGTACTCTACCACTTGAGCCACAGCACTACTTCCGGCTTTTTTCTTTTTGTTTATGTGGTGCTAGGAATCAAACCCAGGGCCTCATGCATGCAAGGCAAGCGCTCTACCACTGAGCCACCTTCCCAGCCCCGAGAATTACTTTTTGTATTCTGTAATTCTGATTGTTTGAATGTTTTGCCATAATAATCAACTCTATTCTTTAATAATCATCTTCTGCAAAATCTTGAGTCCTCCATCCTAAGTGATCAGCTGATTTTGTGTCTGGATTACTTCTTTATCTTCTCATTTAAGCAACTTGCCATAAACTATACATGTCCTTAATCTTATGCAGACCTGTGGCATGTATCATTTATTTAGACATGAGTGGGCTTGGGTGTTACTCAAGCAGTAGAGGACCTGCCTAGTAAGCATATGTCCTGAGTTCAAACCTCAGGACACTGCCCCTCCACCCCCCCAAAAAACCCAACTCAGTCATGAAGTTTTCTTTTCTTTCCTGAACATGACTTGGTATGGCTTTAGGATGTGTAATGTACTTAAAATGTCACTTGGTTTTAAGTAATTGTGTAAATGTCATTTTTCTTGTTTTGAGTGATTAAACACACTTTTGTAAAAACTGGTGAAGAACATTGAAGCTATGTAAGCTTATACCCAAATTCTGTTTTGCTTCATGAAAAATTGTGGTGAAGGTTTCTTCCTAGTTAATTGTAGTTATCTAGTAAAAAGTTTTGAGGAAGAGGCATTCCCTCCAAGGGAACATGGGCTGGTCTCCATGAGGCACATAAAACAAGCCTAGTGCAATTATCCAACGTTATTAGGTAATTTATGCACTACTAAATATTGTAATCAGTCTTCCCATTATTTCCCTCAATTTCCAAATGAGGAACATGAGCCACTTGGATCTTTTCGGTGAGCTGAATTGTATTCACCTATATCCCCAAGTCAGCACAGGTTGTTTGAAATTAAATGCTAGTCTAGCTTTCTTCCCGTAAGTCTGAGTTCTACAGAAATTCCCTCAAATTTGAAAACCAACCAAAAGTCAGTATGCTGTGAGCATAGCAGGCCTATGAGCTTCACATTTTGTCTGATGCTAAAAGTGAAATAGGTCCTTTAAGCTTTCTATCATAGCACTTCATCCCCATGCTGACCAGGAGACCCACAGAAATGGAAGTGCTATAATTAAGAAGGTTGCATTCCAGAACAGGCCAATTTCTTAGTTAAGAAATTGCCTTAACTAGTCACCAGAGGCTCATGCCTGAAATCCTAGCCACTCATGAGGCCAAAATATGAGGAGCGTGATTTGAAGCCAGCCCAGGCAGGAAAATTCATGAGATTCAAACGAAGTTTCCTGAAAGAAGCCTTTGCTACTTTTCCCAAGGAATCTCATACATTTTACACATATCTCAGATACCTTCCTGATTGTCAGAATTGCTCACAATATTCATGGAAAAAGTAAATTGCTAGAGGATAAGCAAATGTGATACTCTGTACACCCTATCGTATTCTCTTAACAGCTTGCTATACCTTGCTGTATCTTGAATATATACTTACAAAAGAAAAGTTTTGGAATCAAAATTGCAGATTTAAGTTCTTCTTAGCTGAGCCAAATAACAAATGCTTAAGCATCAGTAAAGCAGAGTAAGGACCCAATACAAACAAAAAATGTTCTAGAGATAAACCCCTAGTCACTTTGTTGACCTTCAATACATTTTGCCTTCCTCTCCTAGGTTTCCATCATTTTATTTCCCAACAGCATCTGTTGCCACTAGAGGACGCCATCCAAACAGAAAGGTGCAGTTCCACAGATTCAGCCAGCCACAGGCTTTATTCGTAAGTATGATGTGTGAACAATGAAGACCATTTTACATTTGATGAGTATGGTACCATGTCTATTAAAGGTGGACTAGGGAAACAGCCAGATATGATTCCTGAAGAACAAAAGTGTTTTCAATCAGACAAGTTGTATGACCAGCAATCACTGGGCAAATTTATTTCCCTAATTATTCCTACTAGAATATGTATGTGGCCTGATGGATGCACTCCATCTCCTACACCCCCAACTGCACCTATGTGGCAGTTGCACTGTAAGGAAGACAAGTGAGACAACCAGACAAAGGCTGAAAACAATGTAAAAAATCCTCAAGTATTTCTTAGGTTGATTAAAATATCTGCCTTAAAGACAGTCTTTTCAAAAAGAAAAACTGAGTATCCATATGAAAAAGCATGTCTTTATATCATATATAAAAATTAAAGACGGGATGTAGCAAGCATAAGACTCTTGAGTACAAACCTCAATAACAACCCCGAAGTATTGAGACCTAATCATTTAAAATTACGAAACTCTTAGAGAAAAGCTTCATGATAACTGGATTTGGTAATGATTCTGAGATATTCCACCAAAAGTAAAAGCAACAAAGTGTAAGATAAACCTGGACTGCATAAAAATTTAAAACTTCCAGAAGTGGCACTGTGGCTCAAGTGGCAGAACACTAGCCTTGAGAACAGAGGCTCAGGGACAGCATCCAGATCCTGAGTTCAAACCCTAGGACCATCAAAAAAAATTAAAATTTTTGCATATCAGAAGATCTATCAGCAGTGAAAAGAGCAACCTATAGAGTGTAACTTGCTAAGCAAGTTACAAAAACAGCCAATCACAATGGGAAAAAAGGACCCTGGTGGGGTGGGACAAATCTGTACTATTAGCTACTTGGGAGGCAGAGATAGGGAGTATCAGCGTTTCAAGGCCGGTCTGGCTGAAAAGGTACAAAACTGCACAGTACACACACTTGTTACCCAACTACAGAGGAGCACAATAGGCGGGTACAGTGTCGTGTACCTCCAGTGTCATAGAAAAGCACAAATAGAAGGATCACAACTCTGACCAGACTCAGCGTAAAGTAAGATCCTTACCTCAAAGCCAACCCCAAAAGGGGCTGGAGGTGTGGTTCAAGATAAAAAAATGTCTGCCTTGCAAACAAGAGGGCCTGAGTTTAATTCACAATTGAATAAAAGGGGGGGACTTGGATTTTTCTGCAAAGAATATTTATGAATGGCCAACAAGCACATAAAAAGATACTCAACTTCACTAATCATTAGGGAAATAAAACCACAAGAGTATGATCACCTCACACTCATAAAGGCAGCTATAATCTAAAGAGAATAACGTGAAACAAGAATGTGCAGCAATCAGAATTCTTGGGCACTGTTGATAAGAATATTAAATTTCACACCCATAATAGAGTATGGTATTTCCCTAAAACAATTAACAATAGTAATTCTATATACCCAGAAGTTCCAGTTCTGGGTATATGCCTAAAAAAGCTGAAAGCATGATCTTGAGAAAATAGTAAAAACCCATGTTCATAGAATCAGGATTCACAATAGCTAGGAAGTAAGATAACTCCTGTGTTTACCAATAGGCAAAATGTGGTAACACGCACAATACAATATTCAGGCCTGGAGAAAATTCTGACATATGCTACAAAGAGGAACCTGGAGGACATACATTATACTATTTGAAATAAATCGGTCACAGAAAGTCAAGTAATGTGTAATTCCACTTATAAAGAATGGGGATTACCAGGGACTGAGCAAAGTGGGAAATGATGCAAATAGTTGCAAAACGATGTGTACATACACAACGCTGTATGGAAATGTACACGTAGAAATGGTAAAGATAGTAATTTTTTCTGTATTTTACAAGTTTTTAAGTGCTTTAGTGTGCTCCTCCCTCCGACATGCCTTCATTGCCTCCACCTGAGTGGACATGTACCAATATAGCTGTCCTTGAGCGTGTTTTGTCTTTGGCTTATTACCTAGTAAAGCTAGACTAAGAAATCTAACAACTCAGCTTAAAATATCATAAAGGCAGAAAGGCTAGCCTTTTAAAAATTATTTTATTATTTTTTATGTAGTACTGAAGAATTGAACCCAAGGCATACATACTAGGCAAGCACTCTACCACTAAGCCACACTTCCAGCTCCCTATCTGTCTTTTAAATGTCAAAGACACTGATAGTTAGTCATGGATTGTTTCTGTACAGTATTAGGATGGAAAACAGGATTCTCCCTGTTACTGGGCCTGAACCAACCAACTGGATGCCATTCTTGTGTGTGAGTAGATCTCCAACTCTCAATTAGTCTCCATGCATTTAGGAAGGCATTTCAACATGCTTTCAAGAAAAAGTATTTATTTGACATCATTACAAAAATATGTAGGCACATAATTTTCACGTTTATGTCATCTTCTTTACATACCTCAATCCTCAGTACCTTTTAAAATTGGTAAATAGAATCTATGTTGAAAAAATATCATGAGAAGACATTTGTAGACCAAAATTGCCAAAACCATTTAAAATAATCTCTAAAAAACATTTTTGTGAGACAGTAAATCTAACCAGTAGATTTCTTTTAAAAAGATATTTTCAAAATAAAGCTTAAAAAAAAAAACAGTGCAAGAGTATCTCCTCATACCAGAGTAGCACCCTAACAGCACTAGAAGCCAGACTTAGATGGTGCCAGAAACTGAGATCCTAATGTGACTAGCTAGAAGGCGAAGGCAACAAGCAGAATTCTGTATCCAAGATGACAGTGAAAACATTTTTTAAAGTGAATTGCCATTATGAAATACAATTGAGACAGGAAGTCTTCCTTCTTTGCAATACACACCAGCATTATGAAGTAATATTGTTCTTTTTACCAAATGAGTAGAATTGCCTGCATCACACAATGGTGCCCATTACAATCAGGTTTTATAGAAAGAAAACCAAGTGTAGAATACTGCCTGCCAAGCACTCTAGGAGCAATGGGGTACAGGGCCAGGCTTTTCAGGAAATACATTGAGAATCTTGTAACAACCACAGTAGCTTTGTTTACCAAGTATCTGCTTTGTACTAAGCACCATGCTAATTACTTGTACAGTCACAGTCTCCTTCATCCTGAATACTTTCCTTTCGCAAAGGAGAAGTTGGTTATGGCCAATCTCAGGTGAACAGTACTGCACAGTTATGGAAAATAATGTTGTAGGGGAGGAAGATCAGAGGCTAGTCACTGTTCTGCTTATCATATTGTTAGTTCTCCAGCTAACAATATGTAAAATAAAGTCATCTGCAATTGAGCACTGCTTTACTCTGGGGTAGTGTACTCTAGACTGGATGGCCCTGAATACTGTTCACTGAATTTCTGTTCACAAATCACTGGCTTCCTTTGCCCATTTCCTTCTCAATGAGGGTCGAATATACTCCTTGAGCAAGAACTGCATCCCAAAATGCTTGCATACAACAGGGACTCCTGAAGTCCTCATTCAATGACAAGGTTACAATCAGGAAAGCAAAGGCAGGACTTTGAGTCCAAGGTCCTCTTCCAATCTAAAAGAAGAAACACTGCCTATGAAGAATCTGCCTCAGTCCCACTGACCAAACCTCCAGTGGATTCCTCATCCCGAGGACTACAGGCAACTTGCAAACCCATCTTTTTAAATACCTACTTGCAAGTTATACTTACAAATATTAAATTTCTCCAGCAGAAAAAGAAATCAAAATATTCCTGGGTCACCTGTTGAGAAACCAAAATTGTTTGGGTCCACATAGCCCAATGGCTTCCAAACCCAACAAAACAGAAGCTAGTGTGTGCATTAGTGCAAAGGTAGCCAGCTCCAGCAGAGATGCAACAACTAGCCTGCACAAACAACACTCACTCCTAAGCCTTGCAGGTCTTAGTCCTAAATGTTGCCTGAATGGATGAAGAGAACCAAGTTCTCATCCTCCCTTCAATCCCTGAGGCTCAAGTGAGATTTTCAGCCATCTCCCTAAAAACAACAGTATTCCTAGCACTCAGCACTGGCAAGCCTCAGGTGAATGAACGTATCCAATGAATAAATGAGTAAAAGGCCATCTGTCCCTTCATTATCCCGCCTACATCACAGAGGAGAGAATGCTCTCTGCTCATCCCCAAGTTCTCAGGAAAGCAATGCTCTTAAAAACCTCATGGACTGTGTGTGTGTGTGTCCATGTGCATGAGTGTGCCAAAATGGATTTTGTCTTTGGCAAATGCAGTGATGACTTTACGAAGAGAAAAGAGAAATGTCAGCTGCTCAGCTGCATTTGGAGAAGGGGCTAAACTGTCTTCAGGCACAGTGGCAAGGAGAAGGCTCCAGTTAGAAGATATTATCTATGCAGCTCTCAGGGACACCTCGTTATCAAACTACTGAAGAAAGTATCTTCAAAACACTTGATGTTACACTGTCAGAACAGAACACAAATAAATTAAAAGGCCCAGTACATTTTCTAGTCTGGTATAAATTAATTCCAACAAAAAATACTTAAAATAGAGTCAGTTTCTCTGATAAAATTTTAAAAGGCAGCAATCAATCCTCGGATTGTACAAGTGCAAAGGAACAGTCTCTCCCGTGGAATCATGACATCTCATTATCTGCGTGGGAAGTGCCAGTGTTCTGAGCCATGGGAAGCTGGGGTAGGTCCTGGAGCAGCCCTGTTCATACTGCTCCTTTTCCCTTAACGTCCAGCTTGTTACTGGCCTCTGACTGTTTGCTCAGCTGCTCTTCAGTGAATGTGATGTAAGAATACACCAGGCTGCCAGCAATGCTGCAAAACAAAACCACCAGAAGGGAGGAGACATGAGTGTTTTATAATGCAACAGCGAAAAGCTAGATAAAACACATTCCATCAAGGGAATTTGTATCAATTCACCTAATGGAGTACTATGTATCCATTAAAATGAAAACAGGCAATGGCGGCTTTAACAAGAAAAGATTCCATCAAACATTAAACATTGCCTAATCCTACTTTTTAAGTGAACATGAATATATACACAACAGAAAAGTCTGGAAGGAACAGACAGTGCCTTCTTTCTAGCTAGAATCAGGTTCTCAGCGAAGAACTTTCACCTAAGCCTTTTATCCTATGGTAGCAGGTCATAGGATATGACCAGTAGCTATTGCCAGATTCTATGCTTGATGGACAGTGATTTCTCTGTGGACTCTGATTAACTGAACACACCTGGTTTTCAAGCCTCCTGCCCATCACTGAACTAAAGGTGAGCCAGAGGAGCTCAGGTGCCCAAGACCCCTGCCTACAAGAGTGCTGCACTCTGCTCAGCACCCAGATGCCACCCCAGGATCCCTTGGGTCTCTGGCCAGCTGAGAGTGTGGACTGGGAGACTCTGCTGTAAGGTTTCCCTCCCCTGAACTTGGCTCCCATCTTCTACCCGACCACAAGGCTCATAAACCCATTGCTTATTTCCAACACATGCTGCTTTCCTTTGGGCTGTGATATTCCAGCCCCAGGCCAGCTGGAGCACCCATGGAAGCGCGTCTGAATGATGGTGAGACATAACCTTCCCCTGCTCACCACAGGTCCTGACACTGGCTCTTTACTGCACCTGTTTCCTCAACACTGCCCCATTCAGAAACCTCAGTGTCCCACACACAAAGTTTAGCTTTGTGGTCTAATGCACAGGCTCCTGTAGCACTTTGTAGGGACACAGTAACTGCTGAAGTAGGTATCCAATGGACTCCACTCAAAAACACGCTTCACAGAGCCACCCTTGCGCATACCAGTGTACACAGAGCTGCATCTTTTCCTTTACCTGATAGCTTGTTTTGTTTAGGTTTTAACCTGATTTTCCCAAAAACAGTTGCTCTCTACTGCATCACATAGATGACTTGCCCGGTACCTGGGCTGGGACAACCAGAGATTCATAGAAGCCTTCAGGATTAAAGCTAAAAATTCTTTAAGGGCCATGTATATAGTCAGCCATATGACAGTTTCCCTTTGCTTGCAAACTCAAAGTAAGCCCGACACTGACCAGAGGTCTCTGTTAGAGCCAGAGAGATATGTTATTGATTCTTTTTTGTTTTGGTTTTGTTTTTTTGTTGGTCGTGGGGCCTGAACTTTGGGCCTGAGTGCTGTCCCTCAGCTCTTCAGCTCAAGGCTAGCATCCTACCACTTGAGCACAGTGCCACTTTTCCTGCTTATGTGGTGCTGAGGAATCAAACCCAGGGCCTCATGCATGCAAGCACTCTACCACTGAGCCACCTTCCCAGCCCCAGATGTGTTATTAATGAAAAGAAAGGTCATATACGAACAATTGTCTTAATTTGCTCAAACTGCTATGAAAACAAAATAACCATACACTGTGGGCCAAGCATTGTGACTCATGCCTGTAATCTACTTGATTATAGTCCACTAGAGAGTCAAAGATTGGAGGAAGTCTCAAGCCAGCCTGAGGGGGGAAAAAAGAGATAGATAGCCTATCTCAAAGGACTAGTAGTTCAGGCCTGTAATCTCAGCTTGCTACCTAGGTAAGGACTGTTATCTGGGACCAATCCCAGAGCAAAAAGCATGAAATCCTATCTGAAAAAAATACTAAAGCAAAAAAGAATGGGGGTATAACTCAACTGGTAAAGTGCTTGCCTAACAAGCACAAGGCCCAAGCCAAAACTAGTACAGAAAGAAAAACAAACCCCATACAGGAGAGCACCACCTCAACGATCTAAATACCCTCCATAGCCTTACCCCCCACACCATCTCCAAGAGGGCCAGAACTTACACAGAATTTAGGAGAAACACAAACTGTCCTCCAAAACGAAACATGAGGCTAGGGGAGGAACACTGTTGTCAATAACTGAGACAGCATGTTCAAATTTTATAAATTCCATCTTGATATAACAGCAAAAGATGGTTACCAGCGTTCACAGAAATAGGATTCCATAAGCACATGGGACATTCATCCATAAGCATCCTTATTATGTGTGTAGTGTGACAATTATGCTTTGTAAAGGAATCATAAATTGCTCTCAGCAGCTTTGGAAGTACAGAAAGTTGGACAGTGCTGCATCTGAATACCAAATGATTTGAAACCAGGATCTTCTACCACTTCCAATAATGTACCTTTCAGTACTAAGGAATGGTGTTTCTGTGCTAGACCTTACTAAATACTAAAAAAGAAAAGGAAGAGGAAAAAAAAGCCAGGCACCAGTGGCTCACACCTATAATCCTTGCTACTCAGGAGGCTGAGATCTGAAGATTGAAGTTCGAAGCCAGCCTGGGCAGAAAAGTCTAGGAGACTGTTATCTCCCATAAACTACTCAGAAAAAGCCAGAAGTAGCGCTGTGGCTCAAGTGGTAGAGCACTAGCCTTGGGCACAAAGAACCAGAAAAAGAAAGGGGTGGAGGGGAGGAGGAGAGGAAGGGAAGAAAGAAGGGAAGAAGGGAAGAAGGGAGGGAGGGAGGGAAGAAGGAAGGGAAGAAGGAAAGGAGGGAGGGAGGGAGGGAAAGAGAGGAGGGGAGGGAGGGAGGGAGGGCAAAAGAAAAAACACCTGAAGTAGAACTGATCCACAAGGTTTCTTTTAAAAAGTTAAACATGAGTATTAAAAAATAAAGCACCAGTGGCTCACACCTATAATCCTAGGCTAGTCAGGAAGCTGACATCTGAAGATCATTCTAAGCCAGCCCAGACAGGAAAGTCCATCAGACTCTTATCTCCAATTAACCACCCCCTCAGTCTCCCAAAAGCCAGATGTGGAACTGGTTCAAATGGTAGAGCACCAGCTTTGAGTAAAAAAGCTAAGGGACTGCACCCAGGCCCGTGTTTAAACCCCAGTCCAGGAACATGCATACATATATGCATGCACACACACACACCTGCACACACACACACACACACACACAGGAAAATAATTACACAAGCCTTAAAAAAGAAAAAAGCAAATCTCCACTTTCCCAACAGTAAACAGGCCAGTAAGTATGCTGGGAATGTGTGTGAACAGAGACAGTCAGTGATAAGGTGGATTCATTTACACAAACTGCCCAGGGAACTTCAGAACAGGAGGAGAGAGAAAATCCAACCCTTGCTGCTCAAAATCAGGAGTAAAAAGAAAAAACAACAATAAACTGTAAGTACAAATTAGGGTATCAAACAAGTTTGCTGTCAGGAAAAGAAACCTCTTCCAAGGAAAAAAAGAAAAAGAAAAAAGAAGAAAGAACCAAAACACCACGACAGGGCCAATGTATTCACTCAGACACCACCCTGGCAGTGACCGCTGCATGGGAGATGAGCAGAAGCGGGAGCTGTACCCTGTGCACACAAGGCTCTGCTCAGAACAGTGCCAGTCTCACTGTGAAGTGCTGAGCCTGCCTCTCCCTTCTGAACCTGCTGCATCTGCTCAGCTACCGCGGAGCTCCAATCTGCTCCTGTCCTGTCTCCACACACTGTCATGAACCTGACTCAGCAGCCCCCAACAATGGCATGCGTGGCCTGTAAAATGCTTTCACTGTAGTAAGTCCAGGCTGTCTCCATCTCCTCTCACCACCAACGTGTATCTAGGCAGGTGACTGCCTTCTATAAATAAAATCATGCTCATCCACATTCAAACCTATGAACCAAGAATCTGATTCTTCTTAACATGCTTCATCCCGCCAATAATTAACATTGGGTTTCTAGTTGTCTTTTCACCGTGACAGGGACCCCACCTGAACTCCCACAGTCACTGCTAGGAGCCTTTCCCTGGGAAGAAAGATGATGGAGCCACCCTTAGAGCATGGCAGAAGGGATCAAGTTATAGACTCACTAGACACAGTAGTTATGCAACCATCTGAGGACTCACATCAGGGTACCCACGTACTTCTCCAAAATTATCCTGCAAAACCTCTGTGAGCCACACTCACGGGTTGCACACTGCCCATCTTCCTGAGTCCCATCCATCGCCTGTAATTCCAGCTCCAGGTTTTGGTTCAGACAAAATTTAACAGTGGATATAGCCACCCTCTCTTTCCTCCTCTCCAAATCCTACCACCTGATCAGGTTTCCTTCTTCATAGTCTTGGTACCATTTATTTCTAGCACAGCTACCTGAAAGCTCTTCGGAAAGAATGTTTAGTCATAAGAAGTGCTGTTCAGGCCACATTAAGTGCCTAATGTTACCGTAAATGTAATCTCTACATTCATCTACATCTAATCTCTACATCTCTACATCCACCATCTCTATATAAACTGTACCCTTCTAAGTAACTGGCCCTCCTTGCCACCATAATTTTCCCTACTATGTTTTATTTCTCATCCATGTTGTTGTTGTTGTTTTTGAGACAGGGTCTCTCTCTATAGCCCTGGTTGGCCACTTAGATCCTCTTGCCTCAGTCTCCCAACGGCTGGGATTACAGGCATGTGTCAACATACTTAGCTTATTTACTTCCTTTACTATATATCTCAAACTAACAGAACAAATATTTCACTCATTTTTAGCTCTATTTTTTTCCCCTACAACTCTACCAGGACAAGGATTTTGGTTAGTTTGTACAGGGACTCTATTCCCTACTACTGAAAAAATGTCATAGATACCTACTTATGCACTGATAAAGGAATCTTTCTGGCTAGATTATGAACTCCTGAAGATAAAATTCCCCTATGGTTTTGCCATGCACTGAGCAGTCACTCTAAAATAGGTACCAAATGGGTCTAACCACAAGTTGAAGACAGGAGATAAAGACAAACCAGTCATGAGGCGGGAGGTGAGAAGGAGACTTGAGAACCTTGCAAAACGGAGCAGAGCCATCTTCATCTTTAATCTCATGTCCCCTTACAGAGCAG